TTCTGGGTCTCCCCTGTCCGGGTTTTCCCCAGTCCAGACAACGGCATCCGCATCTCTCGGGAATAGGGTTCCGACCACCTCCCCCAAGAACCGCGGGTCGATCGCCTCCACCGTCGGAGGCGCCCCCTTGCTGAGCTTGTCCAGCACCAGCTTATAGGGACGCCCCCACGGGTCTTCTTCCAGTGTCGCGATCAGGTCGTCCCATGCGGACTCCTTTGCCTTCCTGACCGCGAGTCTGAGCGCCTTCCTTTCGGTCCGGTACTCCTCCAGTAGAGTGTCAACCGCATTCTGGGGGGTATCCCTCCTTCTCCTCGCACGTTGCAGCTGCCTCCTTGCGCGTATTACTGTCCTTCTCAGCATCGCCACCTCCTCCGACCACCAATAGGCTTCTTTACGGGGCCTGTAGGCAGCCCTCGGCATGGCTGCATCGCATGCCCTCGTCATCGCAGCGCGAAGCCATAGGGCCTGTTCTTCGACGTTGTCCGGTTCCGCGTCCACCCACGTCTCTGCAATGAGGGAGGCCCGAAGCCTATCAGGGTCCAACTTCCTCACGGCCCACCTAAGGGGCCGCTGATGTGCTCCTCCTCTCGTTCCGTCAGCGACTGGCTGCTTCAGTTCCATGATGATCGGGAGATGGTCCGAGAGCATCTCCAGCTCCTCAGCCACCCTCCAGGACTTGATCATCCTCGCGGCCCCAGGGGAGGTCCACGTCAGATCAACGATGGACTCCCCCTGGGGTCTTACGCACGTACTGACGTTTCCTCTATTTTCGAGGTGGAGACCTAGACGATTCGCCCAGGCCTCCACCTCTGCTCCCTTCGCATTACGGCGTCTCGCTCCCCAGAGCGTCGACGCTGCGTTGAAGTCGCCCGCCACTATGATAGGTCCGGGCATCAGCCCCTGACCTGCCTTTCTAGTCGTCTAGGCGATCCTCCAACTCCGCCCGGGTCAGGCTGGGGCGGATGTAAATGCCCATCACCGTGACGGGGCCCCACTTCACCGCAACCCAGCCTTCACCGCCGCCTCTCCGCACGCACGGGATGTGTTCCTCCCCAGTGCGCCTCCAGCAGATGGCAACAGATCCGTCAGGGCTCCCTGTCCAACAGGGGTGGTCTGGGACAGTTAGTGGCTCTACCACTATCCCGAGACCACAACCATGCTCCGCCATGCTATGGGCCAATAGGTCGTGTGCCTGGCGGGCATGGTTGACATTCACCTGCAACACCTTTAGAGGCGTGAAGGCTCCGGTGCGCCGGCTTCCTCCGAGCCACTCCCTCTCTCCAGCAGTCCATCATTTATGGCCACTGGTGCTGCGTTTCCACCTCCATGGCTTCTTCCGCTGCGGGTCCCTCGCTGGTTCTTGGGGTTGGGCCGGCGCTCACTTGCCGCTGCCTCGAGTCCACCTTGTTGCGCTTCCTCTGCTCCTTCTTAGAAGGAGGCTTGCAGCTCTTGCCCCCGGCCTTGTGCTTTGCCGGTAACCCTTTATCGCTGCAGACCGCGCATCTCAGCTCGGCTCCGCACTCCTGGGCTTTGTGCCCCTCTGCTCCGCACCTATAGCAGGTGGCGCTCCTGTCCACTCTGCTCCGGCATTGTTGACGCACGTGGCCTTGCTCGAGGCACCTGTAGCATATGAGCGGCCTCGGGTCCAGCAATTCCACCCTAGCAGCCACCCAACCGATCTTTATCCGGCCTGGTGCCGCTACCTTCTTGGCCGACACTAGAGGGCACTGTGCCCAGACCGTGCCAAGTCCATTAGG